CAATTTAATGTTGACATTTCTCTGTTATTTATTGTTTATTATTTATTTTCCTAAAATTTAATTTAATTTTTTTATTTAAATGCTGATTGAATCGATGCGTAAATTCTTTTAACGAATATTACTCATAAAAAATGTATCATAGTTTGTTGCGAATATATTACAATGTAACAACGTATATAATGAATATTACGCGCAAAAAATATTATATCAGAAACGTAAAAACAGGCAAATGCATAATATTATATTATCCTTCTGGAAGTTTTGATATCTAAATTACAATATATTTGTTTGAGCCGCGATGGCTCAGGGCTTTCGCCTTCCAATGAGGCGAACCGGGTTCGAATCCCAGTCGATATGAATTCCGCATTCGGCGTGCACCGACACAGTGCTGGCGTGAAATATCCTCAGTGGTAGACGGATCATGGGTTAGAATCCCCNATGTTCCCACAACAAATCAATACCTCTGGGGGTACTGATCCAGGAGTTTCCTTGTCTTCTGGATTGGTTCAAAATTACAAGGCTACGGAGTTGAACGTAACTAGTCGTAAACCCATGAAATTGGGTCGGCTGTTCAACGACGGTTATAAAAAAATATATATATATTTGTTTGAGCCGCGATGGCTCAGGGCTTTCGCCTTCCAATGAGGCGAACCGGGTTCGAATCCCAGTCGATATGAATTCCGCATCCGGCGTGCACCGACACAGTGCTGGCGTGAAATATCCTCAGTGGTAGACGGATCATGGGTTAGAATACCGCACTTAAAGATAGAGATGCATTTTCTACCGGACGTTTATGTGAAGTGTGAGCAATGTAAAGGGCGAAGGTAGATTATCAAAAAACTTGAGTTTATATTCAAATGCTTGAGAGTCCAGGCTTTGACCATTTGGCACGAGCCGTCAGGCTAACCGTGGGAGACGTTCTCGTGGTCTTCCTCTCCATGTAACGCAAATGCGGGTTAGTTCCATCAAAAAGTCCTCCACGAAGGCAAATTTCTCCCAATACTCGATCCAGGAGTTCCCTTGTCTTCCAGATTGGGTTCAAAACAAAACTACAACGCTTGGGAGTAAGTACAAGGCTGGAGACATTAGTCTTTTGTGTAACGACGGTTATAAAATAAAATATTTTTGTTAAAATTTTGTCCAAAAAAAAAGAGAAAAAAAGAACTTCGTTAAGATTCTAAACTATTTCACATATACTACATGACTTTACACAATACTGTACGAGCTCATATCTCAAATTCTGATTGGGAGATGACCTTGTATTTCGCATGATTCGAAAAATACAACAAATGTATATACATATATATATATTTTGCATATTTATTGCAAACCTATTGTATATTTAATATATTTCTCCTCTACTTCCACTAATTCAGTGAATTCCGTCTGAGGGGAAATAAAAACTTATTTTAAATAAATAAAAAATATGTAAAAATAAAATTAATTAAATAAAGCAAATTAAAAAAGAACTTTCATTGAAAATAACTTCTACAATTCTAAAAGTTATGTTCACTTCCATTTAAAAACAGAGAGGAAAAATGCATTTACGAACGCGATTAATTATCTACGAGATTATTTATGAAAGAATACAGATGGATCGTTCATGTGTAACAAAAACAAAAACAAAAATTCGTTCGTGAAATTCGGTCTGACAGTAACATAATCGGTATTTTAAGTCTGTAAAAATAAAACTAATTTCACAAGCAAGAAAAATAGAATGGAAAAAATTGGATTATTTCACAAGCATATCGAGTCGCGCAACTGGGTGACACGATTGTTTTGTAGAAAACTAGAATAAATTAGTCCAAATTAGGAAAAATAAATCATAATTTACTTGAGTCTGGGGATAATTTACAAGAAATAAAGCTTTGTTACCAATGCATTGGAGTTCTGATGTATTAATGTACTAGAGCAATATATTTTCTCTTTTCAGTAAATGATTGCGCAGTCCATCTTAACGTTGTTATAAACGGTTGTTTTTTCTCCAAATAAAATTATTTTTTTTAAAAAAAATAAACTCTTAAAGGGTTGAACTAACGAGTTCAAAGATCTAGCGCAGGAGCAATTGACTAATTATGTAGTCGATTTTTTAATTTTAAAAGAGTTGGTTTTTCTGAAATTAAACTTGTTTTTTGAAAAGATAAAGTCTTAAAGTTTGTACTAACAAGTTTAATATTTAAGCGCAAAAGCGAAGTTAAATTAGTGAATTGCTTAGTTATTTTGAGTTAATAAACAATTTGTTTTACTAAAAATAATATTTTTTTTAAATAAATATTTTAACTTTCAGGTTCTAGGTATAGGCCGAAAATTTTTCACCAGCTACCCAGTAAACAAATAAACTTTTTTTAATTAATATATTTATATTCAGAAGGATCTAGGATTTTTATATAGCAGTTCAAAAATTATTTGTTATTTAAAGCTTGCTATAATACCACAATAATATACATTGTCTAATTATCATTAATGACAATCTATGCATTATTCAATCCATCTTACTAATAGTAAGTATTTTAATTTAAATTTATTACCAAGTGAATAATATTTATTTATGTTGTTTTGCGTAATTCGATCCTTAACTGACAAATCCTAAAAGCTTAAATCAAATTTATTCTAAATACAGTCATAGTTAAGTTCTGATTTTACGAAATAAACATTATTATTTTGTTCCAAATTTAATTGACGGTATTTTCATATAGATAAAGGGAATTTAAAAAAAAAAAATTCACAAGTAAATTTAACTTACAATTCGACATAACAAGAGAAAAATGGCGAAATCGTTTGCTATCGGAACAGCTACCAATTAAAAATTTGAATTTTAAAACATTGTTAAAATAATAATTATTATTTTAACAAAAAAATAATAATTATTATTTTGTTCTAAATTTAATCGACGATATTTTTCATATAGATAAAGGGAATAATAAAAAAAATCCAGAAGTAAATTTAACTTACAATTCGACATAACAAGAGAAAAATGGAAAAATCGTTTGCAGTCGGAACAACTACAACTGAATTTTAAAACATCATTAAAAATATATGTTCCAATAGCTGCTCTGAACAGTTTTGAAGGAAAAAAAAAACACTCATTTAAAAATTACTGGTTGTCAAATTAGGGACAAAAATACTTTATTGTATTATTGCATTTAGAATACCTCAAGAGTTCATAATAGTAAGAAGAATATAGGCAAGGGTTGAGAGTAGGTAATAAAAATGAGAAGCCTGGGTGACATCTCAAACGCGCCGCAGAGACACCAAAGGCATAGTAAAGTAGACGTTGGCGCCAGTGGCTGATTTCCCAGACAGTTTGGCGTTTATTTTCATCGCTCTTGTCTGATAAACTTCACAAAGCAACCAAGAATTAGGGCGTTGTTCCTTTGATCGCTGGAAAACTATTTCCTTTCCGTTGCGTTTCCTTCACATTTAGATAGGCGCGCTGAGAAAAAATTTTTCATTGGCTGAATTTAAATCTCTGGATACTTTTAAATGTAGATAATTATTCTCAAATCATCATTTTTAGAAGAAAAAATATGCATTTAGTGAAAGTCAGTCGTAACGATGGATTAAACTCTGTCTTTATTTATTTTTCTTTTATAAATAAGACAAAGCATTAATACTTTAAAGAAGCCTTTCGCCCAAACTCAATTGTCTGTTAGGCGGAAATAAGAAAGGAAAATGTGAAATATGCTTTTAACAGAGTGCGTAGCGTTTTTAAAAAGTGCTTAAAGGTGCTTTTTTCATTGGATGTTTTTAAAAAGTGCTTAATTTTCCCTTTTTCTAAATGAGATTTTTTCATTACTATGTTTATTTTCGGCTGATTGTGCTCCGGAAAAATTCCGGATTTTTCGCCAACAGTGATCCGGAAATAGAAGGTCCAGCCGTTTCCAAAAATCATTGATCACAGAAGTTCCCGGGAATCGAATTTTCAAAGGTGGAACTTAAAAACATAGTTTCTTTTATTTGTTTGTAAGGGAGAGTCAGAGAGATACTTTATAAGTTTATATTCATGATTAATATTAATTTTTTATCAGTGAATAGTTGTTATAATCATAAACTCAAGAAAGAAAGACATATTTGTAAATTTTAATTATTTCTCCAGGTCATCATAGGTATAGGTATGTGTAAAATTTTAAATATATTTTAAGTAAACTAAGAAATATTGAAAAAAAGGAAGAAAAAAACCTTGTTTAAATTTTTTTCAATTTAAACTGTTTTTATTTTATTTTTTTAACTCAAGAAATTTTCCGGATTTTTGACTTGGGCTCACAATCACCCCTGTTATTTTCACTTCGAATTATGCAAAAAGACACAGTTCACATTGTTCTATTCAACGTTTTCACAATTAATTCAATATTAATCTATTTCGGCGTATTGTCAATCTCTAGCGTATGAAAACGCCATTCGTTTTACATGATTCAAATTTTCATTTTGTCAAAAATCCCAATTTTGTCAAAAACAATGCCAAAAAAAAAATTTTTTTTTTTGGCATGATGGTTGAAACAGGATAAAACCGTCAATTGTCAAAAACTTTCCAACCCTGCCTAATTATGATATTTTTTTAAAATATTTGCAAAGTTCGTTTGT